GAATTTTTAATATTTATTTTCTAGTTCTCGGCAGACACAACATCTTTGTTGGTATGTGGTGCTGAGGATCGAACCCGGGCCGCACGCGTGCCAGGCGAGTGCGCTACCGCTAGTTCAAGCACTTTCAATGTCCACTATGTGCCACTTTGAGCCTCAGTTTCCCTACCTAGACAGGAGTGAGTTGACTTTACCACTGGCCTACTGCATCCTCCATTCATGGCTGCCCAGGCCAGTGAGAAGTATACACTGCTTTAAGGGAATGTGGCCCTGATCCTGAATTAAGGCTGGTTTGGTCTTCTCCCCAAATGCACCAGTTGCCAGTGCCCCAGCCACAGGCCATCTTGCCTGGGCCCAAGGCAGGTCCAATGGCCCATCTGGCCAGGCCTTCATGGTACCCTTCCCACCTAGGTGAGGATCAGCCCTGCTCTGGCTGAGTGTCTGAAGGGCAGGCAGCCAAGACCATGGAGAATCCCAGGAGACACAGCAGCAGTAACTTCTAGCCTTGGTTCCATAGTCGGCCCCCAGCTACCTGTCTTGCCAGCTTTAGAACTCCAGCTCTGTCCCGAGATTCAATGATAGCTCACCCAGCACCTCCTGCTGGGATTATTCTGAGAAGTAGGTTTGGCATGGAGGCAATTGGGTCTGGCTAATCCAATGCCTCCCTGTGTCCCCATCAGCCCAATCAGTCCAGCTACAGCCCTGGAAACACATGTTGTCTCTGCTCCCAGCCTAAGAAAAAAGGGCAGGGTGGAGGAGAGGTCATGGCCTAAGGTCATGCAGGCTCAGACCCCAGGAGGCCAGGGCAATTCCAGATTGTGGGAACATGTTTATGCCAGAGCATCGACCCTCTGAATGCCCTCTGTCCTCCCACACTACTTATCTGTGAGCTGTAGAACAGAGCCTGTTCCAGGCTGGGAGGGATAGACTGAGTGCCTGGTGTTTGAGGAACACCCTTGGGGTCACAGGCTGCCATTGTCCCCATGTGGCTCAGCTAGGCATTCTATTCCCCTGCTAGAGTTTAGGGAACACCCTTTGGAACTCTTGAGGTTTGGAACTCTTTTGAGTTCTTGTATTCATACTGATTCCTCTCAGTCCCAGGCTCCTGTGGGTGGTTATGCCACCTGCCCGAGACCACTCAGACCCAGATGCTTAGAAAGAGTTTCCCAATGAGTTAGGGGCATTCTGAAGACATGCATTTGACTTTGTGTACTTGTACAGGGCCATACATTTTATATGAGTTGATCTCATGAGTGGACAAAAGAACCATCACTTGGCCACTGTCAAGCAAGGCCAAACTCAGGGAGGGGTCACTTGCCCTAAGTTCCTCAGCCTGACACAGGCAGATTGTCACCAGATTCTAGGCTCCTTGCACTTCTTCATTCCACCCTCATGACCCATGGAGGTAAGGGAGATGTTGGGAAGGTCTAGGAAGTCTGACTCCTGTGGAGCCCTATCTGTTCCACTGGCTAGGGAACAGACAGGGCTTCAGACCCTCTGGGGATAGAAGCTGCCTAAAGCCTATTCTGAGGGCAATGGCCAGCAGGGAAACTGAGGCTCCCAGGTCACCCTCTGAGCTGTAGACAGAGCCTGGGACCTCAATCAAGCCTTCCCCTGGGGCTGACCTACCAGTGCATGCAATGAAGGAGAAAATCATGAAAGGGAGGCTCCAGAACAGGCAAAACCCTCAGTGTTACCAGGCTGTCCAAAGAGCTGCCAAGATCAGATCCTATCCACTGAATCCTGAGCATTCCCTCAGTGGAGTATGCTAATTTCAGTGTCAAACTGTATCTTGAACATCATTCATATAGTGCCTAGCATACCTAAGTGGCTAGCCAACATCCTTGGGATCTTTTCTTTCCTCTCCAAAAGCTCAACAGGTCTTATAACAAGCCATTGCATACATCAGAGGTTTGCTAGGACTCTTTGATTGATTCCCCAGATGGCTCTTTTTACCCTCTCCCAGTCAGTGGGTTGTTACCTGCAGGACCAGCTGTTGCCAGGCCATTGGTAGGGGATGCCCACTGCCCACACCACTGCTGCCTACTCCAGGCTGCTGGGCATGCTCCAGCTGCAGGGCAACATGGCGCCTCTCCTGCTCCAGTGCCCGTGTCAGTCGCTCGAAACGGGCCTCCTGCTCCTTCACCGAGGCCAAGATGCTGGCAGCTGAGTGTACATTGTAGTCCTCCATGATAGGGTGCCAGCCAGCTGCAGGCAAAGCAGAGCAAACTAAGAGTGGTGTGGAACAGTGGCCTGATGAGGCCATCACAGGCCTCTTGCCTATCCCACTCACAGATCACACAACTTACTCCCAGACCAGAACATTCAGCTCTCTGGAGGGAAGCTGCATTGATTAAATTCTAAATTAAAAGTCATTAATCCCAGGCTGGCTGGAAGCAGCTGGCTTACTCCCAGTGAGGACTGGGGCTCTGTCCCAGGCTCCTCTGCTTCCTACCAGGTCCAGCAGAATCATGGACTGTGAGTGTCTTAGAGACTGCTGGGATGGGCAGGAAGAGCTGGTGTGTCCACTATTTCCTTGGCCCACAGCATATACCAGCTCATCCCTATTTCATGGGACTACCCCAGCCCCACCTTATAACAGTGGACAAGGCCAAGAAAGGGTCAGGGACCATCTGTAGCCACACAATTAGTGTACCAGAGCTGGTGCAGCCAATGGACAGGGAGTAAGAAGCCAGTCTACTATCATAGTTGCCTAGAACACCTAGGCAAGTGACCTCTGCCTCAGCTCCTAGCAACCCTGGCCCAAGGACTATTGTCCAGCCTCCATTTGCAGCCACCCCAGCCTAAAATAGGGGCAGTATCTGTTTCATATGGCTAAGTGAAAACCTAGTAAAAGCCTTGCTGAGGTTCTGGTTAGGGCTACATGAAGTTTAGAGGCTCTGTGCCTATAAGTGGCCTATGTGTGAGAGGGCATAGGCCCGAACATCTGAGGCCCAATACTTGGGGAGGTCAGGCCCACCCAGCCCCTGGCTCAGCACTGCCCCCATGGGGCCCAGAGCCCCAGGAGAACAAGCAGGGCCAATGGAGATTGGCATTGGCAGTGACAAGCCAGCACTTTTCCTTGCTGCTTGTTCTCTGGCTGACCAGTGTGTTTGTTTTTCATGGGCAATGAAAAGCAGACCAAGTATGTAGAGCTCAAACCCAGGCTCAGAGCCGCAGGCAGGGTACAACCATGTGGCCACAGTGCCCAGAGCTTGGTGTGTGGCTTGATGCCCAGTGCTATTTGGAGTCTGCTCCTGGCTGGTCCCACACAGCCCACTAAGGCCAATTCTGCTAGACCCCTTACCCCTACATCAACATAGAACCTGAACTTAGAAAAGAGAGGCCTCTGTGTATGAATGCCATACACAATGACTGACACAAACAGAGGGCCAGGTCTGCTGCTCACTGGCCTGGATGGAGCCAGCTGCAAGGACAGAGCTCCTAGAGAGGAAGGGCCAGTGCTAGGCTGGGCCACATCAGTGATGGCTGAGTTGAGGACACAGTGTATTTCAAAGGTGAAATGATACTATGGGGCCTAGTCCCACCATGACACTTGAGAAACCAAGGCCCAATGAGGGCAAGAGACCAGCATAAGTCCCCACACCTGCTCTTCATCTCCCCAGCTCCTGTCACATAAATAAAATGGTCAATGTGACCTTTTGGAGATGCTAGTGTGGGTATAGGAGCTGTTAAATCAGCCATACCCTGAGAATGAATGGCACTATAGCTGGGAAAGGTTTTAGCCCCACTAGGAAGAGGGGGTTGGGAGTGAGGCACAATTTGGGTTCTCTGGCCACCAAAAAGCACAGCACAGGCAAAGAAGGAGTACTCTGTCCTGTGCACATCTTCCAGCACCCAGACCCAGTCAAGGTGTAGACACTAGGCCTTATAAAAGTATGAACTGAGACTGGTAGTACAAAGAGTGGTGCTAGATGGGTATGGAGTCTTCCTGCCTGGGAAGAGACAGACAACCCAAGTCCTCAGCCATGTCTTGTTTGATGAGTTGGCCCATCTCAGCTGAGACTTAGAGCCAAGAAGCAGAAGGACTGAGACACTGCATGTGGGTAGCAATGATCAGGATCCATGGGACAACTGCTGGCCTGTGGGCAGGAGGCAGCTTTCTTCTCTCCTTGTGCTGAGAAAGATTCCTGCTTGACCTCCATAATCAGTTTCATATTTTCCAAACAGGAGGCCACTTTATGACAAATGTGCCTACCCATAGAGTGAATTATAAATGACAAGGACAACATTGGGCATGCCAGGAGTGATCATACATTAGGACCGTGTGAGAACACGAATATCCAGACCAGAAAACATTAGGAACCTCGTAGGTGGGTTGGTAAGGTCAGAGCTGAGATTAAATGTTGCAAAACTTAATTATAAAAGAAAAGTGACTGCCTAGTCCCAGCACAAAAGACACCAGATGAGGGGCTGGGGTTGTGGCTCAAGCTTTAGAGCGCTCGCCTAGCATGCATGAGACACTGGGTTCGATCCTCAGCACCACATAAAAATAAAATAAAGATATTGTGTCTACCTAAAACTAAAAAATAAATATTAAAAAAAAAGATACTGGGGCTGGGGATGTGGCTCAAGCGGTAGCGCGCTCGCCTGGCATGCGTGCGGCCCGGGTTCGATTCTCAGCACCACATACAAACAAAGATGTTGTGTCCGCCAATAACTAAAAAATAAATATTTTTTTTTTTAAAAAAAGATACTGGTTGAGTGTTTAGAATTAAGCTAAGAGCATTCCTCCATGGTCTCGGAATGCTGCTGGACAGGGAGTGGCATGAAAAGCCTGGGTGAAAAAACAAGTGACTCCAGGACACACAAGTTGGAAGTAGAAGACTGAAGGAAGAGCAAATCACAGATGGGAATGTAGGTGGGGGGGAAGGACAGACAAATGGGTGAATACAGGGATAGGCAGGTGAATATGGGAAATGGACAAATGCATAAATGAATGGATGGGTAGGTGGGGGAATACAGAGGACGGACAGACTGACGGGTGAATGGAGCAATGGATAGGCAGGTAGGGGAATGATAGTTTGACAAATGGGTGAAAGGATGGATGGGCAAGTAGGATTATGGTGGGTTGTAAATAAATGGATGAGAGGATGGTAGATAACTTGACAAGTAGATGGATTGGCAAATGGATGGATGGATGGGTAGGTGGATAGAAGGAGGGATGGGAGAATAGGAGGCTGGATGGAAGAGGGAATAAATGAGAGAACAGGTGTGTGCACAAGAGGATGAGGAGATGATTATATGAGACGAGGAGGGCTCCATGGAAGGGTGGAGGGAGGATGGATCAGGTGGGTGGATGGATAAAAAGATGGGTAAGAAGACTAGACAGATGGGCTGATTAGAAGATAGATAGATGGGGGATGAAGGAATAAGTGAATAGATAGTTGATCAAATGGACAGGGCACTGTGGTGGCAGGTGTGTAACAACAAAGCTTGCAACATAACTGGAAGGAGGAAGCCCAACCTCACATGCTCTGAGGCAAATGTGATCATGCTAGTTCTGTTGGGAAAGAGAAGACATCATCAGAGAAACCTCAGGATAGGATCTGAATGCTTCCCCTGAAACCAAAAATCCAATATTTGACGTCTTCTTGCTGACCCAGACATTCCTCCTCAGAAGGAGTCCAGCCAAAGCACTGCTCTGGAAAATCAAATTATGGGGCCCCAGTCCAATCTGGGCTGAGGAATTAGAGGAATTTCCTAAGGGTCAGGGCAGCAGGGGAGTAGGCAGCAGCTCTTGTCAGCCACATATCAGAACCCAGGAGGGAACTGGTGACATCAATCCTTCTTCCACTCCCCATTCTATACTCTGGCCATCTGGAGGAGAAGAACATGGTACCAGAAAGTAAACTAGCAGGAGTTGAACTCAAGCCCAGTGGTATACAAGTACATACTTTCTGCCTAGGACATTGTTGGGGCTCTGTCCCCCCACCCCACAAGAGACTTATTCCCTAATTTATTGGCCAGGCCTTCTGGGGACCCATCATTATCCCATTGCCCCTATTGGGATCATATGGTGCCTGAAGCTTCAGGGATAATTTCTGGTCAACCCCCAAGGATAGGCACTGTGCCCAATCTGGGAATAAGGCAAAGAAGTGCAGACTTGGGTAAAGGGTTCACACTGGGCAGAGTCCACTCTTGCCAGAGGCCAGGACTACAAGGTCTTTGGCAGTCAGTGCAGACCATGGGGTGCCTGGCAGTGCTAGGGGAAGGCTGTTCTCAGTCTCTAAGCAATGGCAGAAACTGCTAAGGAAAGAGGAACCAGCAGGACTTAGAATAAAACATTTCTATACGTTAAAAAAAAAAAAAAGCACCAAATAGTATGGTCATTTTTTAGGAACTGACACCTCTAAGAACAACACATGCAGTAAGCATTTTCGCTGGAATAACAAGCATTGGATTTACTTTTAGACTGTGACTTCAGCACAGTGGAGGCTGGTGTGGGGCATGTGGGACCCACTGCACTCCTCTTTCTACTTCTGTGCCTTTGTAATTTTCCACAGCAGAAAGCAGAAGAAAGTCAAGTACAGTGGTATAAGTCTTTAGTCCCAGTTACTTAGAAGGCTGAGGAAAGAGAATCGCTTGAGCCCAGGTGTTTGAGGCCAGCTTGGGGAAACATAACAAAATCCTGACTCAGAGAGAGAGAGAGAGAGAGAGAGAGAGAGGTGGGGGGGGGAGGGATGGGGGGAGGAGAGAGAAAAGATAAGGTATACAGAATATCAAAACATAATTGACATGATAGAATCAAGTATTTTTAACATCTGGCAATAAAGTGATATCCTTAATCTGTAGGTGCTCTAACAAATCAATAAGAAAAAAAAACAGCTGAAAGTGAAGACATAAACAATGTGGTTGGAGATAAGATTCATACACATACACATGCATACACAGGAAAGGGCTATAATGATCTTTATCTTGAGGCTAGAGTGGTGGTTGGTGGTGGGGAGGGTCCCTTGTACTGGGGCTGCTCCAGGACTCTCACACAGTTCTGCACATGCCCGTGTACTACAAAGAACATGAGCTATGATTATAGTCGAACCTAAGTAAGAAAGGAGACTGCAGAGCTCAGTAACCACTCCTCTGGAAGAGTCCCCACCCACCACTAATGCGTAGGCTGTGCTTCAATTATGGGATTTCTGCCAGCTGGTGGATATGGCCATGATGATGCCTGAGCCACCTTAGAG